GCAAAATACAGAAGAGCTCCGGTTCACATTTACATCCTTGAATAAATCTCAAACTCTCCTCGTGCTGATTTCTTCATAATGCTGTAACCTTTTCAAACAGTAATGACTTTAAATGGTAATGGCATATTTCTCACAAAATATGAAACGTTTGGGAGCCTGAGACACACTGTGATGAAGTCTGCAGCGCACTCAGCACACACATACTGTAATGTTTAATTTATCATCCCCTCTGAAGTCTTTTGTGCATGCGTATCAGCTCAAAACATAAGGTCTTTAAACTCATCCTTAATTTTAAAGTGTGTTACACTGATGAATAGTTACTCAGCAAAGTCATCTGCTGCAATGTAGTGATAAATAATAATAATAATAATGTAGTGATGAATCTTTGCACATCATCACTACCTCCTTAAGCTGCTATAATCGTTATTTATATAATAATAATGTGTCAAATGACAATGTAATAGCAGTCGCTTTTATAAGTCTTTTCCACCAACAGGGAACCAGCTCTGTTCTGGTTCATGGATCTAGTTTTGAACCATTCGGAGCATTTTGACCAAAGATAAATTGGTTCAGAACCTGGAAAGTTGGTTCCCAACTGGAACCAAAAGAAATAGCAGGTTTTCCTTCAGAACCAAAGTATGCACGTCATATGCTACAGGTCGTAGTGCATTGTGCAGCGCCCTCTGTTGATGATGCATCCTTGATTACAGTGGTTTCGCTCAAAACTGGTTCAATAGAGAGCATCAAGGTTCCAAGAGTCTTGCAAAGAACAGGTTAAAGAAGAAGAAAAAGGCAAATAGTGAAGCATGTAGCAGCTTAAGATCTGGAGACCAAATCAGTGATAAAGTAGAAGGAAACATTTGTTGCTGCTGGACATATCTGAACACATTGTCATATCGTCTACGATTAGTTACTTTAATCAGAGAGCCTTAGAGCTCAGAACAAGCCTCAATTACAGCCTCAACTGTTTGTTTACGTAAAATGAATCCACTCATTATGAATAAAAAATGGGACAACTGACAGTTACATCACACCATCACACCTTCATAAATATAGCTCCAGAGGATAGCCATTTGTGTACGCTCAGGGCACCACTACAGTATATATGGTACAGTTTGTGTTTGGTAAATTAGCTCTCAGGCTACTGGCGCACTCCTTACTGTGAACGTGTGATCAAGATTAAACCAGCACACTCTGAAACAGGGGCAAGCCATTCATTATTGATGATCAAATCCCTCTGAAGATGCCCTAAATAGACTTGTGTGGTTGCATAACAAATGTGTAGCTGCTGATGAGGCTTTCCTGTCATTAACGGCTTTTATGAATGAGAGCAACTTGTAACACCTAGCTCCAGTCTGGTACCTCTCTGTAAATCTGATAACCTTGCGTTTAAAAAAGGAGCTGGATTGCTCAAAGGGAATTATTAGTTTCAGCTCGTTAGCTCATTGTTGAAATAATGTGTTTTTATATGATTCCATTTGGCTGCTCATTACTTTTTGCTGATGCTAAAAAACAACATATTAAAACTAGGATACCGTAACATTGAATTTGTGCACATTTGATATTCACTTTTGTCTTCATGCTTGCTGAACTAATGCTGAACTTTTCATTCTATTCCTCTGAAGAAATGGAAAAATGTAACCTTTGCTTTCCTTTCTGCTAGAAGTGAGGTCAGTGAGACCACTCATAGGTTGCTACATACTTATGTTTTGATTTTACTGAATTACCTCCTAAAAAGACCCCATTTACCTGCAGTGCAAGGATAATGCATGAAAGTGGGACCCCTGTGTTACAAAGGCTTTCATTTCTAAGCTTGAAAAAAATTTTATGCTGTGAAAATAGACATGGCAGATTTTACACTTCCTGTCTTTAACGTTAAATATAATGTTACAGCCAGCAGCCTGTTAGCTTAGCTTAGCACAAAGACAGGGAGAGCTTGCCTGGCTCTGGACGAAAGTAAGGAAATCTGCTCACAGAGACCTCGATAGCTCACAAAAAAGTCTGTCACAATATAAAGAGATTGTTTGTTAGCTCTAAAGGTAGACAGGCTAGCTGTTTCTGTTCTTTATGCTTATGCTTATTGAGCTAACCAGCGGCTGGTTGTAGACTTATATTTAACATACAGATACAAGAGTGGTATCAATCAAACTGTCCTCCAGAAAGCAAATAAGCATATTTCCCAAAATGTTGGTGTGTAGGATTTAGTGGCATCTAGCAGTGAAGTTGCAGATAGCAACCAACTGAATACCACTCATCTTTCAACCATACAGGAGAAACATCAGAAGAACTGTAAAGGTGAAAGGTCCTATCTAATTCTAGTGTTTGGTTTGTCCGTCTGGACTACTGTAGAAATATGATGGTTCAACATGGAAGACTCCATAAAAGAGGTCCTGCTCCCTCTGTAGATAAAAATGGCTCATTCTAAGGTAATGGAAACACAAATATGATATTCAATTTCTGCCAATAGATCCTCCTAAATGTTACACACTGGACCTACAGTGAAACAAATTTTCTGCAACATTGGGGTTCCCAATTCAAGGAATTTTGAAAATCACTGACATGTGACATAATTTCAACACAGTTCATGATGACACCATTACTTTGACAACTTATTACCCCAGTTATGTTGTGAGTAAAGTAGAAAGGCAGCTCAATGTACAACAATACTTCCATTTGATAACATGAAAACAAAGCTGTAGCTAATATAATTTATCATGGATATATATGAGACTGATTTACCAAAGTTAAAGAGCAAGCACTGGGTAGTGTTATTGTCTGGATTTGGTTATTGGTACACCTCACTCAAACGTACTTGTTATTCATTTGATTACCTGCAGCTGTATCTACCCTGCTGCGACGTGTAAAGGGACTGCTGGAAATGTAGAGAAACAGCTGTGTAGTATAGCGTAATTTTCAGTAGATGGATATTGATCACAGATTGTCACCACCACCAAGTCCTTATGGCAGTTTTATAGGGTCATACTCTGTGTTCGTCACTCATTACTGAAACATTACTGCTGAGAAAGACATTTGTAATTTCCTTTATCCTTACAAGGCAGTTCAAACCAGTCAATGCCGAATCAGGGACTTCCAGTAAAGAAGAGGGCAGAAGCTTTAAACCATCAATTAAACTATTTTTACATTTTCTGTCCACCAACACAGGTGTTTGTTGTTACCTGGTCTGATTAGACAGAGCCCTTATCACACTGAAAGTGGAGATGAAAATTGAGCGCAGGTTGTACACACCCAGACGTTTGATTTTCAAAGGTCTGCAGTGAACAGACCTCGCTGTAACCATCGGCTAGAAAATGTATTCCAGAGAGCAGTGTATCTTTTCATAAGCCGAAGAAGTAAGACGCTCCTTTCAGTCTCATCTTAGGTCTCGCTATTTTCCTGAAGTTAGACATAAAACACTGGGTGGAACTACATCCAACAGGTACGTTTTAAACTGGTATTAAACTGGTAGCATACTATGGAAACCCAAAGTGTTTAAAATAAAACACAACACTGTAATTGAAGAAATCATAAGAAAAATTACAGATAAAATATATAATGTAATCATGAAACTGTGAAATAACATGTTCACAATTAATTGCTGGCCATTTTTATTTATGGTCAGCAGTTTTAGTTCAAAATGTTTGATTTTATAATGCCACCTTTGTTCATCACATCTTTGGCTCTGTGCTGTTTGTCTTCGACAAGATCATTTGTTTTATTTGTTATTTAAAGATTAAGTGGAGTCATTGGTGTCACATTCCCTTTGCCTGTGTTGCTATCCCGGCCTGTTTGTGCTTTGTCTGGTCGCACGAGAGTCCCTCCATTTCCAACTGAGTAGAGCGACTGAAACTTCTGTTTTTCTCTTCAATCTGACTGAAGAGAAAAACATCCTCATGAATTAAGGATTTATTTCAACCAAGCCATAGTTGGTAAATGTTGGAACAGTGGAAAGACAAACAAAAATGGTTTTGGTGAGTTTTATTGTTTTTGTCCACTTTGAATGAAGTTACAGTGTTACTATAATATGCAAGATAAAATAGTTTTTGTCTTTGGAGTCTGGTGGCTTGCATTGTTACGGTTGTTTCTGGGTAAATGAAAGGTCTATCTCTGTAGGGATCCCTTCCATAATGTCAGACACTAATAATATTAACAATATGATACAGAGTGGCAAAAACAGGCAAATTAATGGACGTACTTTAATGAGCACATTTGTCCCCAAGGATTAGCTAGCGTTACATGCAAGCTAAAGCAGCCCGTTTACTTTGACATAGTAGGGAAGACTGTGGAAAGACAGTTTTATTTGTTTCTGTCAGTTTGAAGTGTGTTTTACTGTTATCTGCTAGATAAACTTAGCTGAACCTTTCTCAGTAAAATCCATTGGCTACAGGTTTAACAATTCCCTTCAAAGTATACATCCAGATGTGAACTTGTAGCTTCTCTGTGTCTCTCTGCCCAGTGTCTACAGCCCTTTTTCATTGGACCTTACTATTGTTTTGTTTCCTTTTTTGCTCCAAAAAGCCTTAGTTACTCCAGTTTTTTCATGGGCCATTACCTACTGAGATGAAGTTTGAGAAGCTGAACATGCAAATCTTCAAGAATCTTACACAAGCACTTTCTGCGACACTGGCATCCTCCTCCTAATTTGCCTCGTCTTCACAGTAAAGTGACAAAAACATGCATGAATGTGCACAGAACTTTTAAAATGAACATGTAGTTTATGCACTTTGTAGACAGTTTCTGGATGTTTCGTTGAAAAAAGGTCTGCAGTCATGGGCGTTTTTATTGTTGGTGACTTTTGGGAAGTTGCGTGACTAACGAATCTACTTTTCACTGTTATTACTTCACGCCTCAAAGTGCTAAAACCACCAGAAATATTAGGATCTGACACCATCCCATAAATCTGACCTCAGTAGCGTAAAACAACATTTGCTTTGGTCTCTCAGATAACACAAACCATTCTCAAACCCATTTCTTTTTTGTTTTTTTTTGTTTTGTTTTTGCAGCTGTCTTGCAGTGTGGTGTGGCCAACTATCGCTACCCCTCACTTCCCAGACAATCCACTTGCTTGTACTTTTCCATGGCTGACGGTTTCTATGGCAACAAAAGGGGAGGAAGATGAGGCTGTGGCTTGACAGAGGACTGTCAAGCAGACAGCGCAGGGGCGGCCGGGATCCTCACGAGGTAGGATAATACCCACAGGGAAGAGAGCAAGAGAACAGGGAGGGAGGAGAGACAGTAACAAAGCTCCATCGGTCAATGATTCAGTCTTATTCTTAGCCCTGTGGTGTGTAACTTTGTCAAGATTATACAATATCAGTTATATCTGGTTGGCCTTTGAGTTTATACTCCACAGAGAGAATCATACCCTTTGAACCAGCATTACTATAACTTGGAAATATAAATTCACCACACAGTTTTTCTTAGTCAGCAAATCAATTAATCAGATCCCTCTGGCTCTAACACTGACTCTTTAATTTTCTTTTCGTTTGAATAATTATCAAAGTGAGGTGGAGAGACTGACAACCACAAAGCCCATCAGGTAACAAGGTTGGATAATTAGTGTGCACAAAGTGATCATTTGTTCCCTCAAATTAATAATTTCTGCTCTCAAATTAAATTACTAGGTCTCTTCAAATTACTCATTCCTTCAAACAAATGGTGTCAAGTTCTTGCAGCAGTAGAAACTGAAGTTACAGGTTGTCTGGCAGGCAGGAGTGCCCACATTGCTAACAGCTGTATTTTAATGTAGACAAGACCTACAATTACTGCCCTCATTCCTTTAAACATATATAAAAAGTATAAAGTTACTGTATTCGTTCCATTCACCCGTGTGTCCTCGTGATTTTGATCTCCTGCAGTTTTGCTGACACTGTTTAAGCCACGCTTTGTTATTGAAATGCACAAGCTTTTTTATTATCAGCTATATGGGTTTATCACTTGTAATCAGAGGTTGCTTAAGATGGATAGTGGTGTGTGTATGCATGTATACAGTATATATCAACCTATGGGCATGGGGATAGACCTTTACCATGGCACACATTTTGTCATAGCAAGAAAAGCACAAGTTAAACACATTGTTCATGATGGCTCAGTTCCAAGTGTCCCAGCTTATTTCTGTGAAACGGTCGGTTCTGCTGCTGTTCTAGCTGATAAGTAGTGCTGTCATACTCCAGTCTGATCTTGGACTCCAGGCGTTTTTTTCTATTGTCTTGAACTCGTTGGTATTTGTACTGAGATTTGGCCACTGGCCTCACCAAATGCTCTAGTTGGTCTGGACTCATCAGCAATATGTTTTTTTTTTCTGAAGTAACTTCCTCCTCCAGAACAAAATCACTGATGAAGAGAGTTGAGAAAATGGGTATTGGTTTAATTTAAAGTCCATCTAGAATGGGAATTGACAATAGCTGCCTGGTAACCATAGTTTTGTAAAATATGTGTGTTTTATTTTTTTTGTTATTTACCTGCATACAGAATATATGATATCTATCATCTGTGATGTTGAGTGAAGTGGAACTTCATCTTTATGTGACTTCAAGTGAAAAGGCTATACTTGAAGTGAACAGTAATTTGAATCTTGAGTGTGGTTATACTACACTTGCTTTTGACCTAGTACTTCTCCACGAAACTACAACTACTTAAACTTACTGACAACATTGCTATATTGTGTGTCAATGTATGTACACACACTGCCAAACCCCCTCCAGGCTTCCAGACCTCTATCAGGCTCTGAAGAGCTTTCATATGAACAGGAAGTGAAGGCAACACGTGACAGCCACTGGCCAGGGGGCAGCTGTCAGAGAGCAGTGCCGAACACTTTAGAATTAGATCAGAGAGAGCTGACACACACTCATACTTGTACAGGGATACACAGAGAAGAAGGGAAGCAGAAGGCCAGTCAGAGCCATTTCCTCTCTTGCTGAGAGGGCTAATTGGGTAAAGTAAGTAAGTAAAGTCGTTAATCTGCTCCCCAGCTCTGGTTGCACCCTCTATAAACAGTCTGGTGCATGTGTGTGGGTGTGCGTGTGTGTGTGTGTGTGTGCGCGCACAAACGTTTTGTATTTCCACTACAGCTGTCTCTGTCCATCAATAGCAACCAAGAGTCTGTGTTTGGCTGGAAGTGGAGGAGCTTGCAGTGTTTTGCAGGTAGAGGGTGGAGGAGAGAGGAAGAAGAGGAGGGAGAAAAAAGGCAGATCTGAGGAACCCGTCTGCAGCCTGAACAGTCAGTGAGAATATAACCCCGGGGCGATAGAACACAGGCTATAGCATTTGCTAGCAGTCACGAATACAGCTTGATACATCATAGATAAGAGTTAACATCCCCCAGGCTGTTGCCGGCACTTAGTTCTGGCTGAAGACAGCAGAGATCGGTTTTAAAGGCCCTCTTCAGGGATCCTATTGAAAGATCCATCATTTAGTTACTGTTATCTGTGCAGCGGTCAGCGGAGGTCTCGCTCCGATCGATATTTCACCACAGTCCTCTATGAAGCAAAGGGGGCTGAGTCGGGTGCTGTAATAAAGAAGCAGCTTGTCCACTCTTTCGTCTTTGCTTTTGTCAAACGGGATCGTGATCAGAATCAGTCCTCTGCACAGTGAGAGGATGAAGAGGTGGAGATGGGACAGCGGTGTAATCTGGGATTGGATTAAATGGATATACTGATAGTGTGACTTGTTTTTGGGACCCACCAGTCTGCTGTATTCATGTATATCCTTGTATGAGTAGTTAAACATGAGCCAGTATATTCAAAGAATAAGGTCGGTGATATTCTTCATATTTCTTCAAAAATCCAATGAAAAGTCCAAATCCAACAACGAACTGGTCTTTCAGGAGGTGTGTTTTTACATTTTATTTGCACATCTGGTGTTATTAACATGAATCTGACCACTGGACTGTTTTTGTAGTCTGTTTGTATTTACCCCAAACAGCCAGTGTACCAAATGTACAGACATTGCCTGTAGTAGGTGTGTGTGTGTGTGTGTGTGTGTGTGTGTGTGTGTGTGTGTGTGTGTGTGTGTGTGTCAGCTCAGCCTATGACTCACCCGGAACGTCAGTCTTCCTGTTATTTTTCTTTTAGTCTTTCCTTTTTTTTTCCATCTTGTCCCTGTAAATGTATGAAGTAATGGTAGATTCATGAACCCCTGGCATAAATGCACATTTAAAAACAATGAAAAATGCATCCTTGTCTCAATTTGTACTGCCCCAGCAACTTTGTGCACTTGTGCCCACTTCTTTTCTATTGAATTTATATGCAATTGTGCTGCGTCTAAAATTCACCTCAAATTCTGTCTGCATACATTTTAACAAATAGTGTGTGTATCAGCGGCTGATATATCTTCTTCCTCTGTGCCATTGTTGTCCAAAAACTATTAAAAACAGTTCACACACCATGAACACACACTGTGAACACATACACTGTATAACCTATTTTGACTCAATCCCACATCAATACTAGAGCACTGTGTATTGATCCACAGCTAAAAAAAAAGCACTATGTACTGCTATTTCAGTAACTGTTGCTAAAAACTACCAGACCAGCTGTTTTAGGAAAAATAAAAGCTGTTTCAGAAATTTAAATAATAAAGTAAACTGCTTTTATTATAGTAGGAACCAATAAACTTTAAGTCAAAACATATGCAGAGATGGACTAACACATGGTCCTTTCAAGGGATAAGTTGATTATAAGAACTGTCACATAACCTAAAATTTATCTCACCTGATGTAATACAGTAACCGACAGTGTGCTGTGAGAACATTTTTGTGGAAAGAGCTCATTGTGTACCGGCATATATGCGATCATTGTCAACCAGGGACAGATTTGTCTTGTCAGCAGTGCAGACAGACAGTGAAGAGCCTCACTGATTTTATTCATGAACCCAAGATAAGACGACTGAGAAAGTCCTGAAGAGACTGAAACTCAAAACGACTGGTTCTTATTTCAACGACTGACTCTAAAAAAACAGCAGCAGCGTGTTTACAGTTGCTGTCAGCTGAAGTCATAAAACATGTGGACAGCAGGCGTCCACACCCAGAGCCAACACTGCACCACACATCGCCGGATGCAGAGGACTGGGCGCCACATTGTCGAAAAATGTGTGCACTATATCTGAGTGTGTACCCTGACCACTTGCAAAATGTGTATCAATGGTCACATTACATCAAATATGTAAGAAGAAGAATAGTGTATACTTAACCATACACATTTTAGTTTTACATTAAACAAACCACAACCAACACCTGATCCTACATTAGAATAGAAATTACCTGAATGAATACAGTCTGGAGATTCTTCTAAATTACACTAAGTAGGAGGATGTGTGTTGGTGAGTCCTTTGTTATCAGCGCCAGCTCCTCCACAGCACTGTTTTAATGAGACAAATTCCCCCAAAATGGTAGCGCACGGCTGACAGATACATGGAAACGCTGAGTGCGCTGCACAGCGAGGATGAAGGCTCCCTCTGACTCACCAGATCAGTCATCTGACGCTCCTTTGATCACTCAGGAAGTATGGAGGCCTACAGTTACTTTATCACCCTCATTAATTTCTTATCAGACACACAGCAGCCATAAATCCGCCAGTTTTCCCCACAACAGAATTACAGGGAAGGCGGTGACTTATGAGGATGTGGTCACCGCCGTATTGTGTGGCACATTCCTCCAAAGTGAGCACCACAAACGGTTTGTGATCAACTGTGGTGGACAGTGAGCGCCTGGCTATCAGTTTGGCCTTGGCAAAGAGGGGGGGGGATCTTGGAAAGCCATATTTTCCTGCTCAGGGTCAAAGGACAACTTGAGAGAGTGAGGAGGTGACAAAGACAGATGGTGGTGGAAGGTCATATGTGACCACACAGACCAAAACACACACCAGCTATAAAGGCAGAGGCGACATTTCTGATACAGGAATTTAAAGGAAGAAAACTATTTATTTTCAAGGTCATCAGTTCAGTTGTCCAAGACAATATTGCACTTAGCAATTGCTGAGATTTCAGAATGTGGCAACGTTACAAAAAAAAGCTCCAACAGGGTATGAAACATCCGGCACAGTTTAAAACTTGACATGAACAGTTTTACTTCATCATGAAAAATGTATTTATTATAAAAGATAAAATATCTTATATTAATCTGGGTGGTGGTCCTTTGGCCTTATCTATTGTTGTTGCTTTCTGTCATGTTGTCAGACTTAACA